AGTATAACAAATTTTCAAAGTTCGAAAAGTTATTAAATAATTCAAATGTTATAATTTACACCCCATAAAGCTTGGACCGCCGTCATAGTCGGGGATGGGCAAACGATGAAGCGATCGCGTCGCTCCTTTGCTTATTCGTCGCCGAGTGTGACGGCGGTCTCCGCGGGAATGGGGAGATGGCTAAGGTTTTCGACCAACTGTCGGTCATAACTTTCTTACTACCCAATCAAATCAGTTCAATTTTTGATATGTTTTGTGTTTTCATATATGTATGTCTATGCAAAAGCGTCCACTTGTGAGGATCGTTGGTTATTGTCGCCTATCGAAATCGACTCCTAGTTGGTTATCCCAATGCGAGTTTGACCTTCCAAAACCTCCTGGCTGGCTGTCTAGATGCATTCTTTGCCGTCCCAGCATATTTCGCCATGAAGCTAATATATAGAAATTTGAATTTAAACCAAAACAAAAATCGGACAGGAATCATGGGACAACCCAATGCATTGTTCTGAAGCTCACTGTCTTTCCGCTTTTCGTCTTTCGTCTACTTTTCGTCAGGAGCGCTCAGGTGCATGCTCTTATCCCTTTCACAAATTGTGGCTTTTCTCGAGGCCTGCTCTCTCAACTCGAGAATGTTGTCGTAGAGCTAGCAGCAACCGTAGTGCTATCGTAGCCAATAGCATTTATGAGTTTATGAGTCAAATAGAGAGATTAGTAGAATTTGGAGAGTGACCACCCTTCTCAGGCGAACCTTCCACTCGATTGACTCGGACTTTGCTAGTGTAGCGTCAATGAACATTGCACAAGCAGTACCGCTAATCCAGGAGATAATTAAAGCTATAAAAGCTGTAAGTTGTTCACACCTAAATCTGTTCAATGTTTCCTATAACGAATTCTTTCAGATTTCAACTCCAATCATTACTGCGAAATTGATGGATAGTCAGTCGTAAGGCTAGCACGATAGGTGAAAGCAGGAATTGATGTCACGACGCTAGGTTGGTTCTTTATTCAGGTTTTCATTCCCTCTCGAGTCTTTCATCGTTACGTTCAGGTCAATGTTTTGGCGAAATCTGTGATTATATTGAAGAAATCAAGATTCTAGACAACACATTCGTGCTGCTGAAACTGATTTTGAAGTGAATTCTTATTCCTCATTCGGAGGTGCAAAATTTTGGCGAAGTAGACCTTTATTTGTTTACGGATCATGTCAAATTTCCTCTTATGGATATGTGTTAACTTCGAGCGTCTTTTGGTTTTGGCCTTAATCTATACCTATAATTTTCGAGTTTTTCTAATTATTACTCTAAATATTTTCACAATTATAATTATCGTTGCTTGGTTACCGTTCAATGTCAAAAGGTTAAGGTTTGCCGAACGTGAAACGCTGCGTGATTCATGCAGACGAGAAGCGCGGCGATGATTACAGCATCATTGTGGAAGGCAGCGATTTCCGTGGTGTACTTTCTCAGCCAGGAATCGATGGCCGTTTCACAAACTTCAACAATGCCCTTTTCGTTGCTGAAGTTAGTTTTGTTGTGCCCAGTTGAATTATGACCTTTTCTTGCTTGGAGTTTTCTTTTGAGGATTGTCATGCGAACGTGAATTTAATTCTTTCGTTTTTCCGCATTGTTTTAGTTTTGCAAGTGAAAATAAATGATGAACCATGAATATGAACAATACTTTCTGGAAACGCTTCGCGACCGCGCGCAGCAGTTCAACGCCTGAGCCTTTTTATAAGTGTGGCTGTAATTCCAGCGACTGTACATAGAATCTGGAATATTAAACAGGAGCTGCGAAGCAAGATACCCCGAAAAAAAGCTGATGAGTTCTGTTTTTAGAAGAAATGCAATAAATTAAACAGGTGTGTGATCCGAAATAGATGGTGGACGAATTCAGAGATATTTTTAATGAATCCCAAGCTTCAGCAGCTCCTCCGACTGCAGGTTTTATCAGAACCACTTTAAGGCGCCATTTCCAAATGTATAGTAGGAGATTTCAACACGTAGAGCGAAAGGAACCTATACCAGCGACGCTGGGCCGAGAGGTTTGCAGTAGTGCGGTGGCGCACTGGCGTGGTTGGCGCATTGTGGATGTGCGGCCGGGGATGGAGTCCCTACGGCGGCAAATTTTTGCCAATCACCGCAATCACTTATCAGTCTGGGTTCTCTTATTTAGAGACTGCCACAATCAACCTGCTCGAGATGCGATTCAGCGATGAGGGGCCCAAATGGATCGACGATTGCATCGGGTGTGGCTCGGGTGGGCGCCGCCTCTCGTCACGTAGTGGCGGCACCTTCCCGGCCGAGTGCGATGAGCACATGTCGTGACCGATGCGAGTTCCGGTCGGGTCGTGTCGCGACATCTCGGCGCTCCATTTGGCGCTCGATGGGAAGCTCCCAAGCTCTCATCGGGCTCGATGGAGACTGCTGAGAGTGTCGAGTTCGGCTCAGTGGAGTTGAGCCGGAAGAACTCGGCAAGGGTTCGTGTTGCATCAGCAACTGTGACCCGAATAGATTTTTCGGCGGTGTGAGGGTACCTTCCTACCTGCTTGCGGTTGCTTGGACCGCACGGAGGGGAAGGTGATTTTGTCATCGAAAATCGATATCGATCACTGACAGGAATCGGGGTTTCTCATTTTTTTAATCAGTGTGGTGCCAGAAAAGCGACCCAGTGCTCGGCAGAAAAAGCTTTTGCTTCAAGTGAAATGCACAAATAGACGATTATGTAAAATCTCGAACCAGATAGTGGACGAAATCTAAAACATTCCGTTCCCGTTCCATCGAAACTCTTTGAAGCGCCAATTGCAAATGTAATAGGAGAGATTTGAACACGTAGAGCGAAAGGAGCCTATACCAGCGACGTTGGGCCGACAGCCGTTGCAGATGTGCGGTGGCGCACTGGTATGGTTGGCGTATTGTGGTGTGCGGCCAGGGGATGGAGTCCCTACGGCGGCAAATTTTTGCCAATCACCGCAATCACTTATCAGTCTGGGTTCTCCTATTTAGAGACCTGCCACAATCAACCTGCTCGAGATGCGAATCAGCGATGAGAGGGCTCAGTCGGACCAGCAGTGGAATCGATTTCGACATGGCGGGGTTGCGCCTGCCGCCACCTAGTGGTGGTATAACTACCTCGCCGGTAAAGCGGAACGAGTTTGAGTCCCGACTGCTGCAAATCTCGGGCGGCTCGCATCGTGACGCCTTGGCCGCACTGTCGGTCCTTGCTGGGAGCTCTTGGGCTTTCGACGAGTGTCGACAGATGCGAGCTGAGGCAACGTCGATCTCGTAAGGCTCAGCGAATGGAGCCTGGCGTAGCTCGGTACTGTAATGGTCCGAGCAGATTTTTCGCGGGAGAAAAAATGCATCCTCGGCCCGTATGCGGTTCTTTGGGACGCAATGAGGGGGAGGTGGCTTCTTTATCGGAAATCGATATCGATGACATTCATGGTTATTTTTTCGATGAGGTTTGTAATTTTGATCAATTTGATGCCAGAGAAGCGACCAAACGGTCGGCAATCCTACGCGGATGAGCATTTTTTGCAAAATTTAGTCAAAATTGCGATTTGGCAAAAATTTTGCTATAGCTGGACTAGAACCAGGATCGCTCAGGTGGAAACGGCCCTGCATCACTCTGAGCCATTTCTCTCCACGCTGGAAAGGTTTCGCGGTTGTCATGAACCTTACTCCGAGAATGCACAATGATAAACCGAGCGCCTCGCTTTCGAGGAATTTCCACGACTAAATGGTCACCCTGCCGGCCGAGTCCCTTTCATGGTCGACCTCGGTCGGGAGGTGGGTGAACACCCGAGGCCACCACCAGCCCGAGGCCCTGCCGACTTTTCGGCTAGTGATATCGACCACCCCTTAGATCGATCCACTGCCTAGCCGGGCGCGGTCCCACTGCCGATGGGCAGCACTCTCCTTGGCCGTTTCAGGGGCACCATCCAAACTGATTATCGATCAGTAACAATAACCTTCGAGAAATGGTGCGATTTCTCTTGAACCCTTGGTGCTCCGTATCTCAGGCTGCCTTCGAACCTTCTACAGTTCGTCTCGCAGGCATAACGACATCACTAAAGACTTCCTTTTCACTCGTTTTCTCTTCGCATCTCTAATGTTTCTTTGCATTTTGCAGCTGTTTCCCAGGGGAAATACGATTCTTATTAGAAAGCTTGTGACGTCATATCTTTCCCATTATTTGCTATATTAGTATGATTTGAAATTGATGGCGTCATCGTAGAGGTAAAATGACAGGGAAAGCGGGCATAGCGAGGAACAGCTCGGAATCACTGGTGTGAAATCCTTCCAGAAAGTGAACGGTTGAAATTATCAATTTGCCCACAACATAGTAGACAGGCAGATACAGAGAAGAAAATGAACGACAAACATTGAGCGCTGGTGGTTTAGTGGGTAGTTAAGTGGTTTAGCGCGTGAGAGGTCGCAAGTTCGAAATACGTGGTGGAGTATGTGTTTTTTCTTTCGACAAAAGGGCCGTAACCTTTCGCGTGTCTGCGCTCTCCTCCTTTATAGATTGTTCGTTGCAATCTCGGTAAACGTACGTTTCATCCATGCTACTAGGCAAAGGCGCTTGTACTCTTTACATCGGGAAGCACTCCTACTAAGCTCCACAGAATATCTTGTATTTGGGTACTTCCAAAGAGGTGCTGGAGGTGTGCATCAGATATTTCTGAGGTGTAGATGAGGTACACCGAAGGTGTACAATATGTAAGGTGGTTCATGGATGATGCAAGTGGGGTTTTGATGAGGTGTGCGCACTTACTACGGTAGGTGTCGATGAAGTGCGCTGAAGATGTACACACCCACGGTACACCTCCCGTACACCTGGTGAAGGTGTACGAAGGTGTGCGTACTTACTACGGTAGGTGTACAAAACTGTGCGCACATCTACTGCACGCTCGTGTACATTTCCCACCTCTTGCCCACTTCGGAGGAAGCGCGGGGTATTCACAAGTACCTCCCATATCAACATGCATCTTGCTGTCACGATAGTGTGGTGACGAATGTGTGCACCATCATATTGGTAAGGTGATTCGTACACGGCGTAGGTTGTAAAGGGGCGATCTATAAAGAGAGAGGCTCTAGACGAGCATACGAAAGCGGGCTATCAAACGCAAAACTTTGCCATCTCCCGAAATAGAACTTGCGAGCACTCACCTGTGAGCCTGCCCTACTAAGCACTGCGCCATTAGGGACTCTTCAGAGACTCAAACAATTCCATCTGATTGCTTCATCCTTGCTCACAAAGTCCTACATTACTGTTTATCGTTATTATCTGGACTCTCTAGGCTGCTTGAAAACTGAAATTGGGTCATAGGGGGCCTGCAAAAACGCCAGCTCCTAGAGGGTTGAATTTCATCCCAGCCCATTTTTTTTACTATTCTGTGGGCCGTAATTCCGTGACGGGCCCACTTCTGACACGTGCAACGCTTTCACAACTCAATTTGTAAAACTCATGCACACTTCTGACTGTCTCCGCAATTATAGGTATACTGGGGTGACTCGTACATGGTGTAGGTTGTAAAGGGGTAATCCATAAGAAGGGAGACTTTAAACGAGCATACGAAACGGGCTATCCATGAATGCAAAAGTTTGCCATCTCTCGAAGTGGAACCTGTGACCACTCACCTGTGAGCCTGTCCTACTAACGTAAGCACTGCGCCATTAATGACACTATGGCATCCTAAACAGTTCCATCTGATTGCTTCATCGTTTCTCACAAAGCATTACAGTTCTACATTAATGTTCTAGCTGTTATCCGGATTTTCTGGAATCATCTAGACTGCTTACAAAGCCGAAATTGGGTCAGGGGTGACCTGCGTAAAGCACCAGTCCTAGAAGATTAAATTTCATCCGAACCAATTTATTTTTTACTTTTCTGTAGGACGTAATTGCGTGGCGGGCCTGCTGTTGACTAAAGCAAAACCTGACTTCGACGACTCATTTTGTAAAACTCATACTTTCGAATTTTTCTGGGATTAGGGGTATACTGTGTGCGTGGCGTACAACTACGAATCAAAGAATGGGTAGTGTTTAAGTTTTCAAAAGCTAGAAGCGCCAGAGGTCAACCATCGGCTGGACAGCCCAGTGAGGGAATCTACAGACCTGGAGAAGAGGAGAGCGGCTGGGGAGCGTGAGCGCACCGGTTAACTGTAGAAAACGCAAAAAAGTAGCGAGAGGAGAGCAGGGCTAAGGCCTTGTTATGAGTTCTAATGAGTGGCTATAGCTCACAATGCAATGGAGATGCTGAGAGCAACTTGTTGAGCCACGACTCCACATCCCTTATATAGCATTGGCGTTACTCCATCAGATTATCCCCTTCAGGCCGATGTCAGACTTTGCGAATCGAGCGATTCGCTACTAGCGTCCGCGGTCGCGTTGCGGTACCAGCCAATTGAGTGATTCACTGGCCGCGACGCGACCGCAGACGCTAGCGAATCGCTCGATTCGCAAAGTCTGACATCGGCCTCATAGGGCCTTGAAACAGCACTGACGAGAGAAATTGTTAAGGAATACAACCAGCCCAAAACGAGCTCGTCGAATTCTTCGATTGCCATTTTCACTCATTCTGAGGAGGTGAACACCCAAAATTTCTCTAATAAGAGTGCATATCGGACACTCTGATGGCTGTTACATTTTTGACCAACTGTTTCCTTGGGAAAGATAGAACTCGGAGAGATGAAAGCATCAAAATCCGGACACAAATTATAGGACATCCCAATGAACTCCTTTGAGCAGTTACTCCATGCTAATTCATTTCATTCTGAAGCGAAAAAAAAATTCATATAACCCGTGCTATGAATTAAATTACATGATAGGCATGCAGAAACAATATGAAAATTCCAAAATTAAGGAGCATTTATAATATTGATAACTTTACAGCAAATCAAAACAGCCAATAGGAGATCCTGCATTATACTTTTCACAACCTTAACAAATTCAACACATCCACATAACCAAGTGAAACATAACACAACAATTATGGGAATATCAATACTATAACAAATGAAAGTCCGCATTCAGCAGGGTCGCTTTGAAACCAGGGTCAACCCTATGTTGCTACAAGTAGCAACGGGGGGGGTCGTACTTGGATGGACCCGGAGGGGGGGTCGTACTCTCTCGGTGGCCGGCAGTGGGATTTGTGGTAATCTCCCTACTGATCATAACCATGTTTCAGGAAGAGCATGAGAAAGGAAGACTTGCAGAAACAGCAGCTGCAAGACATGTAGCATCGTTCAAAAAAGTGCTCCCACCATGACATGGGTCCACCCACGAAACCACATTTGAAACTAAAGTGTAGCTGGAGTATTGCCTAAGACAACATGGACAATAGTCAGCACATTAGCACGATCTCGTTTTCCCAAGGTTACGGATGCTAGACGTTTAAAAAAACCGTTACTTCTGAGAAAGAATGGCTTGGAAAATGCCCTTCAAAAAGAATGTAGCAACGGGACTAATTTTTGAACTACTGACTTTTAAGAAACTTTTGGGTACTTTTTAGAAAGCTTGAATCCTCTAGTTTCTCATACCGTGTTCAGCTTCCCAAATAAATGAGTTGAAGGAAGTTATAGTCGTTTAAAGCTTGAAAAGTCGCGGTTTCAGAAAAATAGTTCCGCGAACCCCCCTAAAATGTAGCAACGGGACTAATTTTTGAATTACTCGCTTTTAAAATACCTTTGGGTACTTATTAGGAAGCTTGAATCTTTGAGTCTCTGCATAGTTTCTCATCGACGTGTTCAGCTTCCCAAATAAATGAATTTGAAGGAAGTTATGGTCGTTTAAAGCTTGAAAAGTCGCGTTTGCACAGAAAAAAGTTTCAACGTGCTAAATTTTTACTAAATTAGCTTTCGATGAATTTCAGCCATGATTGGAGAGAGAATGAATTTGAATTTTTTAAATCAAATAACTCCGGCGCAAAGCTCGAATATGAAGAAAGTTATAGCCCTAGAAAGAGGAAGGTAAAATTGTAGTGCAAATTCATTTCTTGCTCAATAACTTAATTCATTTCAGATTGTTTAAGAACAAATCCGCTCTACTTAAGAAGGATGACCGTCGGTGATCCAAAATCCACCTCCGTCTTCCGAGGAACCTGAAATTTTACAAGGAAAAATTCCTCTACTTCTCAATTTCCCCTTTCGACACCTGTTCCCATTCAACAAACGCGCCCCATTGCAGTCACCGAGGGCGCGATCCACCACAGAAACGTAACCTGTCAAAAACCTGTCAAACCTTTAGCCCTCAGCCATGAGGTCCGTATCATAAATGACTTTATGTCCTAATTCCATGCCTACGCTGTTTTTCGGAATGGTAACTCGTCTTTTATGAAATTTGAACCGAAATTCAGCATTCTTGTCTAAAAAAGTTTTAATTCATATGATTATTATTGTTTAAGTAATCTTATCACCACTTGAGCTACACACAGGGGGGTCGTACCAAATCGCCCATGAAGGGGGGGGGGTCGTAGAAAAAATCCAAAAAGTAGCAACGATAGGACCGACCCTGCTTGAAACCAAGCGCGCGGCATATTACGCCATATTGATGCGTCACAATGACTGTGTTGCAGCCGCACGCGTCCTGCTTCCGTTTATTACCACATGTGCTTTGGGGGCAATAGATAAAATGATAGTTATGTAGAACATTATGGTACAAGGAGACACATGTCTAATATTTTTTTTAACTATGAATACTTAAAAGATGATACCTGAATACCTGAGTTGAATATTAGTGAATTTTATATAGGTATATCTATAGAAGAAGATATGTGCACACAGGTGAAGACTGAATTATCACAGCGTGTAGTCAGCTTCTTAAACCCTATATAATAATCACAACTAAGTGAAATCAGGGCAGTACACAGCACGGAGAAGATCACGTAGTTTGGGGCACTGTTACACCTGAATGCAGTGAGAGTATGCAAAAACTTTACAAAAAGAATTGGAGTTGGGTTAAAAAGATTTGAACTGAAACTCACCGATCTGATGTGCAGATACAGAAGTTCTCCACAACACGGAAGCCGACCAATTTCATGACTTCGTAATGAGCATTCGTTTACCTAAAGATGAACAGTGAGATTCAGCTGAATGAGAAATACCATTTTCGTTATATTTTATACTCAGTGAAGAAAACGCGAGTAAACTTGAAGGCAGCGATCACGATGGCTGAAAGGTGGTGCGGTTCTGATGATGTCATTGAACGCCATTGGTGGAAAGGCGTTAGCAGCCAGTCCAAACCACGTCCCTCAGTGCGCTAGGAAACAGAGCGGATATCGGTTGAGAATTCCTCGACGATTTTCGTCCGATCGGTTACTCTCCAGTGTTGACATTCGCAGTCGCCATGCACGAGCCGTCTCTGCTATCCGCGCGCACGTTCACTCTCGGTACACAGCACAAAGCCATCGTGGAGGAATTCCTCGACCGTTATTTACCCTACAGAAAAATCGGTCCACCGGCGACCTTTGAGACGTCATCAAACCGTACCGCCCTCCAGCCATCGTGATCATAACTTCACAATGAAAAGCCAGTCATCCAACTGCGGAATGAATCGACGGAAATGGGTCCTTCCGAGAACGACAAGAGCTGCCGCGCGCAATCGCGAAGGATTTCTCACCACGTGGTCCACCATCGTCATCACACTCCCCTCATCCCTTATTTTATTCCAACGATCAACAAACTTCACAGCCTCCGCTCAGAACCTCTTTCCATAAAACAACCTCTTTTCCAACAACTGTATTTTATGCGAAGATATTTCCCGCTACCTCCTCAGATTTCGGAAAAACCTTCGCTCAAACATTGGAAAATTTCACCAAATAGGCTAGGGCATGACGAGGAGGCATGTTCATGGCCACAGCACGCAGGGAGCGGTCATCTGCAAGCAAGTGTGTGATCTTATTCCTACACACAAGTAAGCGTACTCTACAACTGTGAAGAAATTTCCCCGCTACCTCCTCAGATTTCGGAAAAACCTTCGCTCAAACATTGGAAAATTTCACCAAATAGGCTAACTGTCCTGCTGAGAATTGATCTATGATTTCCATTTGAACACGAGAGGAGGAGATGTTGAGCGCAGGGATGTACGTGTTAAGTCATTTAACGCGCCGCTATGGAATAGGGACCATGAAATCTGGAAAAAAGCAATCGATCCATTCACAATACAATGGACGATGTTGAATACGCGGCGCGTTCTGGGGCAACTGCTGAGACCCATCTCTCTGAAGAACGATCATGATGCATAAGCGGGATTATATGCGCACCACATTCAAACAATTTTTTCTCGAGCCAAAGCTCGAGTGCATGGCGCAATCTGAAGTAGGGCTTTTTAAAAGTTTAAAAGCACATTCTTATAGAACTCGACGAGCTGAGTTCAACGCTTTTTTCAGATTTTGAAAATCTCAATTTTGAACCGAGTTATAACGAATTCACGAAATTAACGAGGATTCGCGTTATTCGCGTGAATTTTCGATTTCAAACGGCGAGTACTGTACGCTTACTTGTGTGTAGGAATAAGATCACACACTTGCTTGCAGATGACCGCTCCCTGCGTGCTGTGGCCATGAACATGCCTCCTCGTCATGCCCTAGCCTATTTGGTGAAATTTTCCAATGTTTGAGCGAAGGTTTTTCCGAAAACTGAGGAGGTAGAGGGGAAAATCTCTTCACTGTTGTAGAGTACGCTTACTTGAGTGTAGAAATAAGATGACATACTTGCTTGTAGATGAC